TACTACTGACAATATCAATCAACAAATTCCATTCATTTTTAATTATTCAAGTAACATAGGTACTGTTAAAAAGATTATTAATAAGAACTGGAATATTTTAAGTCAAGATGACGAAATAATAGAATATTTGGGTTCCAAACCAAAATTTGTTTTCAGAGGCGCAAAGAATTTTAAACAAATTTTAACTAATAGTTTTATTGAAAAAACTTCCCTTAATAATAGTAATTTTTTATCTAATTGGTCAAAGACTCAAAAAGGTTTTTATCATTGTGGGATGTGCAATGCATGTAAAAAAACAAATATTGAAGAAAAAAATGTAATTGAATTTATGTCTACAAATACAAAAAGAAAGTTTAAAATTAAGTCAATGATTACGTGTCACTCAAATAATGTTATATACCTTTTAAACTGTACATGTGGTCTACAGTATATAGGTAAGACGTCGAGACCACTAAAAACCCGAATAAGTGAACACGTTAGAAATATTCAAAAAGGGTTTTTAAATCATAGCGTATCCAAACATTTTTTGGAAAGACATAACTCAGATCCAAAGTTCCTCAATTTCCATGCGATAGAGAAAATAGAATCTCATTGGAGAGGAGGAGATACTGCTAAACATTTGAGTACCCAAGAAGTTAAATGGATATTCGAAATGCACACCCTAATACCTCAGGGTCTGAACATCGATTTTGAAATAAACAGTATTTTATGAGTAATTATGTTACGATAAAATTTCTTTTAATTTTAAATTTCTATTACATTTTATGGATCTTTATTATATTCAATTTTATTAATATATAACACCAGAATAGAAAGGGTTGTATATATATTTTTGATGTATTCCTTTCCCTCCTTTCTTTTCTGACACATTGGCTATATAGTATGGTATTATTACAAAATACATCACAAAGTAGCAATAATGCAATATATGTATATTTGTAAATATTTTTAATGATCTTTATGTCTTATTATGTTCTATTTTTTCCTCTCCTTCTGTTTTTTATATATTTGGATACTAACACCATGAACTATGGGCTTTTTGCCCTATTTCCAAACGGACTCGATTCCTCTTCCGCCCACGTGATCTTCCTGTTCACATGACGCTACATATGTTACGGAGACGGCGTCCTGCTTTGTTTTCCCACGTGACCTGGATCGATGCGTCACAGGATATGACGTATCGGTGTTCCGTCAGCTTGCCCACGTGACCCGGATCGATGCGTCACAGGATATGACGTATCGGAGTTCAAAACCGGAAAGAAACTACATTATGGACACATGGGTATAGCGGTCATGTTTTGGGAGGGCGGCAGGGTATGGTTTATAGCCGGAGGTGCAGCCATCTTTTTGGTGGGCTTGACACTTCCGGCTATGACCATATATGGGAGTGGGGGGTGTTTATACACATATGAATCTATTTGCCTTAATTGGTAGCCTGTTACTGATGATATAAAAGCAGGTTCAAGTTCAGTCTACAGTTAGATGCACTTGAGAAAGACCTACATTGGTTGAAACGCGTTGTGCAATAATTTATGTATTTTATATATTTTTATTTGGTGAAATAAATTCATTACTTTTTAAATATTCATGTTGGAGTCTGCTGCTATATTACCAGCTTCAAGTTCCTGAGGACTGATTTGCCATATTACCAGCTTCAAGTTCCTGAGGATCACTTTGTGTCTCAAGGAGGAGACGATATGCCCCATAAGTTTAGAGCCAACTTTTAAAAAAGGCTCTGGAAATTGTGAGTTTGATGTGCATATCTCCTTTTCCTACTATTTCTGTATATGCAGATTACACTATGTCTGTTATATGTGTCTATTTGTAGGTTATCAGAAGTTTGATTCACCTTTATATGTATAAGGTAACATTTATTTATTTCTGTGAGTGCTAATTACCTTCACCCCTTTTTTCAAATTTAATAACATGCTTGCATTGTGTTTGCTTGAAACTTGTCTCTGGTGTCTCCATAAATGGGAGCAAGGAGCCAAGATTGCTAGAAAAGGGGTATTGTGCATGTGTTTGGAGCCTGCTTATGGGATTGTGTGTGTGTGTAGCGTGATTGTGGTGTGGTATTGTGTAAGAAGGTCGGTTTCAGTCATGTTGTGGAATGTATGTGTGTCTAGGTGCAGTAGAGTGTGTGTATAGGGGATTTAGCGCGTGTGTATATAGGTGATGGAGTGTGTGTTTAGGGAATCTAGTGTGTGCATAGGGGACCCAGAGTGTGTATAGGAGATCTAGTGAGTGTGTAGAGGATTCAGAGTTAGGTAAGCAATCTAGTGTGTGTCTGGAATGTAATGTGTTTAGGGGTGCAATATGTCTGTGAGGGGTCCTGTAGTATATATACACATATATGTTTGGAAGTATTGTGTGTGTGTGGTGCAGTGTGTTTGTGGGCTGCTGTGAGTATGTGGGTGCGTGTGTGTTTGTGTGTGTGTGAGGATGCGGTGTGAGAGTTGTGCAGTGTGTGTGTGAAGGTGCGTATTTGGAGGGATTTTGTATTGGCAGAGGTGGGGGGAGGCAAGTTAATGCCAATATATGTTTTTTTTTATAATAAATAATAATAATAAATAATAAAAAAATAAATCCCCCCCCTCCCCCACACACACACACACATATTATACCCACCTCCCTTCTTACTTTTAGCCTGGGAAGGAGGACAGTGCTGCCATCCCTGGTGGTCGTAGTGGTGAGTGAACTCTAGCTTCTGGCCATGGCAACACTCTGGATCTCACAAGAGGAACCCGGCGGAGCTGCAAGATAGAGCTCCTTCGGGTCCTCTCCTGTCTCCCTCCCTTCCTCCCCAACCTGCGGCCGCATGTAACTGACCATGGGCCAGTGGGGAAGATCTTTGATCTCCCCACCATCCCGTCATGGAACACAGCGGGGCCGGCGCTCGAATAGCGCGGGCCCTGCATGGACCAGCTGGGGAGATCCTGTGACTTCCCCTGCCGGCCTTGGCCCATGGCCATCGTGGCCCCATGGGCATTTGCTCGGTGTGCCTGATGGCCAGTCTGGGCCTGCTCCAGACCCATAAAACATTTATCTTGCTTTATGGGTCAGCTCTCATTTTACAAAAAGTGCAGATTTCAGTAGAAGTTGGCATTTTTACAAATTAGCCTGGTTACACCCCCCTGCCTGTCAAGCAAACCATCAGTCATGTTACTTCCTGGTTTGGTTAGCTCAGTGGAGCTAAACTCAAGAGGCAGATATTGCCAAGAGCACCTGACTTACAAAGACTTCTCATTGTATGGGAAGTCTGTGATTGGACAACCACATAAAGTCTGGGCGGGGTTACGAGGGGAGGGCTTGCAAATGCTGCAGGAAAGAGATCTGCATGTGTTACAAGCCTTTTTAGATATATATTAAAAATGCTTCATTAAATGCATACATGTTTTCATTGAGGGTATAGCTACTAAACCGTGGTTTGTTTGTTTTTTTGTATTTGGGCAGTGGGTGTCCCTTTAAGAGTTATGTGCAAGTATGTCATTGCTGGTATTACAGAGTAATGGATGAGTTAATAGGTGAAATGACTAACAAACAGTCTCTCTGCATTTCAAAAACTCAAAAGATATAAAAGCGCCATCTACCAAACTAGTTACCAAGATGGTTTCTGTGCAGTCTCCGCGGGTCGCAGTTGATGTATGGAGTACAGAGTATTACCCTCACTTCAGGATTTTAGCAAGCATCTACTCTGACTGTCAACATGCATGTTTATATTTTAATATACTGATTCATTTTGTTACACATTCTTTGTTGTTTTTCTATTTGTGGAGTAATATTCTTCCTGACTCTCTATGGGAGCTGGAGATCTGGGTATTTTGGAGGAGATAGGGGAGCCTGAGATGTAGGTCTTCCTTCGTACCATCATTTCCTTAATGAGGTCCACGATTTCCTGACTCAGCTTTGGTATGTTATCCACGGCTTCGTTATACTTGGCCGTCGAACCATACACCCAATCCACTGCCACCACATTCCCGCCTGATGCTTCCAACAGTGACTTCACCAGGTCGTCAATCCATGAGGGCTTTGACCCCAAAATCCTGGAACAAGAGATTAGAAAGCAGAATGGCTGACACAGATTGAGGAGTGAAATGCGTTGGGGTCCTAAGCCCTCCTCACGCTCCCTACATAACATACTCTGAGACATGGCAGGTTTTACATGTCTGGACCCCATGCTGATACTAGCTCTCCATCTATGGGTAGCCCTTGGAAATGTTGTTATCAGTTTCTGGCAATAGTCATCGATTTTAGGGATTTACTTAAATTAATGTAAATGTTAACACTATAAAACAGTGATGTCACCATCAAGTCTTCTCTAACCCGTGCTCTCTCTTAAAAAGTATCTGCGGACTCAGCGTGAAGGGGTAAGGCTCTCCAGGAGGCACTATGGTCATATTACTAACCCTAACTAAACTAACCCATTCCCAGTCTGACTAGCCCTCAGACCAACCCATTCCCAGTCTGACTAGCCCTCACACCAACCCATTCCCAGTCTGACTAGCCCTCACACCAACCCATTCCCAGTCTGACTAGCCCTCACACCAACCCATTCCCAGTCTGACTAGCCCTCACACCAACCCATTCCCAGTCTGACTAGCCCTCACACCAACCCATTCCCAGTCTGACTAACCCTCACACCAACCCATTCCCAGTCTGACTAACCCTCAGACCAACCCATTCCCAGTCTGATTAACCCTAAGACCAACCCATTCCCAGTCTGACTAGCCCTCAGACCAACCCATTCCCAGTCTGACTAACCCTCATCAAACTAACCCATTCCCAGTCTGACTAACCCTCATCAAACTAACCCATTCCCAGTCTGGATAACTCCATTCCCAGTCTGACTCAACCTCACACCAACCTAATATTCCCCAGTCTTACCCAACCTCACACTAACCCATTCCCAGTCCACTCCAACCTCCACACTGGGGCCCATTCCCAGTCTGACTCAACCCATTCCCAGTCTGACTAACCCTCATCAAACTAACCCATTCCCAGTCTGACTAACCCTCATCAAACTAACCCATTCCCAGTCTGACTAACCCATTCCCAGTCTGACTAACCCTCACACTAACCCATTCCCAGTCTGACTAACCCATTCCCAGTCTGACTAACCCTCAAACTAACCCATTCCCAGTCTGACTAACCCTCAAACTAACCCATTCCCAGTCTGACTAACCCTCACACTAACCCATTCCCAGTCTGACTAACCCTCACACTAACCCATTCCCAGTCTGACTAACCCTCACACTAACCCATTCCCAGTCTGACTAACCCTCACACTAACTCATTCCCAGTCTGACTAACCCATTCCCAGTCTGACTAACCCTCACACTAACCCATTCCCAGTCTGACTAACCCATTCCCAGTCTGACTAACCCTCACACTAACTCATTCC